GGCCCTGCTGCAATTTCTATTCAAGTGTCTCCCGCTGTCAATGCTCCGCCCTTTTCTGCTGGCCATGCAGCATTTAGTGGATTCACTATTTGTTTCCCGCTGTCACTGCTGGTGTCCGCCCTTTTCCGCAGGCCATGCAGCATTTCTATTCAATTCAAATTCGTGTGTCTCCCATGCTGCAATGCAGGTGTCCGGCCTTTCCGCTTACTGTTTGGGGTTCTCTCCGTCTTGTCCCCCTTCTGTTTCCTTTGGTTGTGTGTCCGTCTTGTCTCCCTTCTCAGGGCTGCGCCGCCGACAATTATTATACTAAAGTCCTCAAGGGTCACGCAGTGATTTTTCCCCAAACACAATACTGTTCGGGTCCTCAATTATTTTGTGTTTGTCCACCTTGTGTGGACTGCTGTCCGCCTCGCAGTGCCGACCTCAGACTCGAAATCCTTTGACTTTACATCTGTCTCCTAGCTCTGGGTTGCCCGTGTCCGCCTCTGCCCTGCAATCCTTTAGCTTGCAGTCCTTGGGCCTGCTACCTTTCGTCAGGACTACGTATGGCGCAACAGCGAAGGCTCCGTGATTTCTTGGAAATCCAAGAAAGGATAGCGCATTCAGCTGGCAGGAGGCGAGGGGGTTTGACTGAACCTGCTTGAGCAACTCGCTGGATTCGTCTCTATTTCCGGCTCGTGCTTGGTGGAACGTGGCTAAATGACAAGCAAATAAGGTCTGAGACCCCTCATAACCGTTTGCCGTTGCCTTGATAGGACGCATAGTCAATGGCAAAAGCCGTCATGCACAGCAACCCGTGGCCAAACGCTTCATAGCGAATGGGTCTGAGGCAGCAGTCACATTGGTGCGACGACCAGGCTTGGCAGACGCGCTGGTAGAAGTATGGTTGATGCCTGTGCAGATGGCCTACACTGCTGGCGTGGCAGACGCATACACAGGCATTTCGCAAGGATCCGCAAGGCAGGGCCTCTTGCAGCTAATATTGGCAGCTACCTGCGAAGCATGGGGCATGGACGCAAAAGCAGCGAAAGAGTATCCGCTGCTCGACGGAGTCCCATTGGCAGACATGCTGTATCAATGTATGCGTATGGCACGCAAGACATTGACCACAACGGCAGCAGCACTCCCTGGAGAGCAGTATGCAGGTGCTTTTAATTTTGCTTGTACAACAGTGCTGTCAACATGGCAGATTACAGTACCTTATTCCTACTGAACGGCCGCCGCCTCGTTTTGGAACGCGAATTCAGCTCATTTCGGAACGCGGATTCGGATCGTTTCGGAACGCGGGTCAAATGGTCTCTGGGAAGTGGTTTCTGGTTTCTGGGGGCTGGTTTCTGGGAAGTGGTTTCTGGGAGGTGGTTTCTGGGAAGTGGTTTCTGGGAAGTGGTTTCTGTGAAGTGGTTTCTGGGAACCGGTTTCTGGGAAGTGGTTTCTGGGAAGTGGTTTCTGGGAAGTGGTTTCTGGGAAGTGGTTTCTGGGGAGTGGTTTCTGGGGACTGGTT